CAATTAGAATTTTTCTAGTTCAAAGATCACAACAGGATAGGGAGAGAAGAGGTGATGTTTGGGCAAGTAATAGGTTCTTGATAAGAGGCCATGTTCCCTAAACTTTCACACTGTCAGCACTGATTACATTATGACATCTGGAAAACTAGTACCAAACTTCTACAGTGTGACTTGGAACTAGCCATGTAAACTCTCTGAGCCCCAGTAACTTCATGCCTAAGTACAAATTGTTTGATCTCAAAAACAAAAAAAAAACTCACTGGACTCCATGTCTGTACTCACGCCTCCACAAATAACTTCTCAGCACATCAGCCGAAGTGATATTCTTCAAATATAATTCAGATCATATGTATGCAGTGGCCCTTTGTCAGGCCCAGATGAAAATCTCAACTCCCTCCCATGGCCTAGGTGCACTGGCACACTACCTACTTCCTATCCTCTGCTAACCCTCTCCCCTTCATCTCTTGGCTCCATCTCTATGCTCCAGATGCTCTTTCTTTCTGTTCATGTAACATGCTGCACTCCTTCCCACCTTGAGGACTTTTACACGTAATGTGGCATTTGCCTGGGACTCCTTTCCCAGATAGTTGAGGGCCACTCCCCTCTATTCAGTCAGGTCTCTGCTCAAGTGTCAATTCCTCAGAAAAGTCTCCCCTGACAACAAATCCAATACCCCTTCTCAAACCTTCTTCTCTCCATTGGGCTATTGTGCTTTTTCTTTAGCACATCACATATTCTTTTTTCCCTTTTTATTTGTTGTCTATATCCCCTACTAGAATATAAGCAGAATTTTTTTATCGTATTCACCAGTATCTTACCAATACCATGATAAGTGTCTGACATGCTCAATAAATATTTATAGAATTAATATAATTAATTATAGAATTAATGACAGAGATAAGGAGATTATATCAATGAGTCCTCAGGGTCTCTCCATAGCTTAAAGTATAATGGTCCTGTAACCACATTCCAAAAACAAATATCAGCTTTGATAATTAGCCAGTATGCACTGATATGAGCATCTCAGTATAGAAGTATGTAAATATTTCCATACCACTTGGTAAACTAGCTGCTACCCTAAATCCCCTTACCATATCGTCTGCAGGCTCTGGACCTCACCACAATCCCACAATTAAACTGTTAACCTTTGGGCAGAGCAGAGGGTCTCTCATTTTCTGCTCAAGAATTATGGTCAATGTTCATTCCAGTTGTCCGATACCTGAGACGCCTTGGTTGTTAAATAATTCAGCTATGATTTCTGACGGCAGCTGTGCTATTGAAAGAAGATGACACATGAAGGGGCACCGAGTCACCAAACAAAGAAAGGGAGGAATGAAAAGAAATAAAAGGAAAAAGCTTCCTGAAGCCAACAGCAGCTATCTTTCAATGTGGTGGAATAAAACTTGCACTGTCATTCTGCTTGGGGAACAACAAATGGGAAATCTGAAAAATAAATACAAAGTACACACTTGCTTTTTGCACTACCAATACCACATGAAGAGTGGAGTAATTATGTATTCGAATATCATTGCTGGGAAAAACTCTGTGTGACCCAAAGTTCAATACTCAAACACATTGGTTCCAGGCAAGATTGCTTTTCATGGTGGTATACCCTTTCTCCTCTACTGCCTTGCTTCCAAAGGAAATTAGACACTGCTCCTATTTACCGGAATGGGATCTAATAAGGGCGTCTTCTTGATTATAGAGCTACAAGGTCAGCACTTTCCCTCTTGCTCATAAGAAACCACATAAAGTGAAACAACAGAAACCTGTAAGCATGTCCCCAGCTAATCACTCTGACCTAGCAGCAAGTTTCTAGAGGAAGGAGAGTGAACAGAGTGAAATGGTATCAGCGCCATCTTTATTTTTTTCATGCTGCTTCTCCTGGCCTGACAGATTCAGATGAGCTCACATGGCATCCTAGCCCCTACAAATGCTTTACCAACTTCTCCAGGAAGATGAAGGAGGGGATTAAAAACAATTCAGTGTTTTCACATCCAAATCTGGTGGTCCAGATACTAAATCTAGACTTCTACATTGTGTTCCAACTCCCCATTCCCTACCTGAGTCTCCTTTATCCATCAAACTTCTATCCAGGGGATCAAAGGGATGAGCTGGGTCCCATTGGAAGTTCTTTCCTCTCTCCAACTCACAGAATGTCTTACATTTTATTTTCCATTTTAGGGCATGGTACTGAGCTTTTGCCTTGGGTCAGTGCTAAGCAAACCAACACCCACATTTATCCTTGTGAGTGAAGGCCACATTCCAACCCTGGATTTCATAGCTGGCATCCTATTATGTGACCTGGATTTGTCAATCCTCCTGAATGAGATAAAATCCTTAGAGTCAGATTTCCCACACCACCACCTAGAACACACCTAGACTGACCACCATATGTGCTCTGTCATCCAGAGTGGACTTTCTTGTGTGACTTGCTGGATCTTAATTTGGCTTTTTTGTCCTTTGGAACCTGAACTGGGGGCTGCCCAGCTGCCATTACCAGAATCAATCTCCCCAGCAGTCCCTTAGCCCTGTCTCATCTGCCTTTTCTTAGCAAATACGTTCCAACCTGGTTCTAATTTTATGAGCTTCCCACCAGCTCTTTGCCTCTAACATCCCAACATAGTTCCTCTTCTAGCCCCATTATTCTGGACCATGAAGCTCTCCATCTACTTGAGTTGATAAAACACACCTTGAGAATTTTTATCAATTGAGAGATCCCAAAATTGTTCATCATTTTATTACTTACAACCCCATCCCTGAAAACAAAAAGGGAAGATATGCTCTCCCCTAGTAACAGATGGGCTAAGTGTCATTGCATAGCCAAGCAAAAGTTCTTTACCTCTTAGTGCCTCAGATTTAAGCTTTTGTTTTATCTTGTCATGATAAAATGTGACTGGAGCACTTTGTTTTCACACAAATTTATTTAAGAGGATCTTGCTCAATTACATAAAACAAAACAAAAAGAATCAGGTAGTGAGGAATGTCATATAAGTCCATCATTTAGTAAACTTTTCCAATTATATCTATTTGACTCTGACACTCTGCCCAGATATAAATGGAAAGATTTTTTTCCCCATTTAAAAAGCATCTATCGGCTGGGCGTGGTAGCTCACACGTGTAATCACAGCACTTTGGGAAGCTGAGGAGGGTGGATCACCTGAGCTCAGGAGCTCAAGATCAGCCTGGCCAACATGGTGAAATCCCCTCTCTACTAAAAATACAAAAAATTAGCTAGGTGTGGTGGGTGCCTGTAATTCCAGCAACTTAGGAGGCTGAGACAGGAGGATCGCTTCAATCTGGGAGGTGAAGATTTCAGTGAGCTGAAATCGTGTCACTGCATTCCACCCTGGGCAATGAAGAGCAAAACTCCATCTCAAATAAAAAAAAAAAAAAAATCTTTCATTGAAAATAGTGTAAACCAAAATGTGTCTGTCTTTTTTTTTTTTTTTGTCTAGCCGTATTTGCTGTCTTTATCTCATACTGACCTTTCTCTAACATATTTTTCTGTTTCTCTTTAGTTAATGACGAGTGTCTAAAAATAAAATGGCTAATGGATTTTTGGACAACATGATTATTTCATTGGTACATACAATCAGGAAACATATTTCTGTTTATATTCTTACATCAGTTAAGAGTTGTAGATGAAGCCACATTCTGTCAGCACATTTTTTTTTTCAAACCTGGAAAATGTAACAAAATCCAAAACAGCTGTAGGAAGTAGAGTATACAATCATTTGCACTCAGCAGGAGAACTAACAGGAGGTAACAGGATAGTTTCCATATGAAAAAGTTATAAAGAATTTAACCTGTAATGAAAACTCTGATAATCTCTAGGAATGAAAGGTGCTTGGATGATGGGTTTGGGGTTTTTCATAAGTTCAAAGGATCTGGTTTTCCCCATAAATGCTGTGCAGGAATTGGAGACGTCCATGTGGTCATTGTTATGTCTGATAGCCAACAAAAGTTCAGGCTTCATCGTTAAGCCATTAAACTGTGACTGTGTGTGTATTTTAAGACCATGGATTACCTGCCCAAGCCTGTGTTTTTGAAAAGCATAGAAAGCAGAATCTCATCAGCTTATCACCATCTGCTCCAAGATAGAGACTCTGGTGCATTGGTATTCCTTTAAGATTCATTATGTGAAGCTCCTATAGCCTAGAGCTTCTCAAACGGTGATATGTACATGAAGAATCTCTGGACCTTGTTAAGTGCAAATTCTGATTCAGCTGGTCTGGATGGGATTGGACCTGAGATGCTACATTTCTGTCAAGGTTTTAGGTGGTCTCATGCTGCCAGTCCATGGGCCACCATTGGGGTAGCAGGAGCACAGAGGATTTCTGCCACAGCATCTGTGGTAGGCAGTCTCTGAAATGGCTCCCATTGATCCCACCTTTCTGATATTAAAACTCATATGAATTCCCCTTCACTTGAGTGTAGGCTGGACCTATTAATAGTGACTCAGTTCTACTGAACTGAATGTGGCAAAAGCGATGGTATGTTTCTTCTGAGGTCAGGTTATAAAAAAACTGTAGCTTCAGCATAACTGTCACTTTTGCTCTCTCAAACCCCTGCTCTGGATAAAGCAAGCAACCATCTTTTTGAGCTGCCCCTGGAGGGTCCCATATGTCTTCAGTCAATAGCTAGTAAGGACCTGGGACATATGAGCAAGCTGGGAAGTGGATCATCCCCCAGTCAAGCTTTAAGATGAATACAACATCTACTAACATGTTGTTTGCAACCTTAAGAGAAATCTTGAGCCGAAGGCACCCAGTAAGGCCACTCCCAAATATCTGATACACAGAAACAGAGAGATAATAAACATTTGTTGTTTTAAGCATCTAACTATTGGAATAATTTGTTATGCTGCAATAGATAACTAACAGCATAATTCATAAAACATTCTTTACAAAAGTTAAATTTTAAAAAATCAGTCCTCAGTGAATATTTTATTAGCCACGATTAAGGGCCAAATATTTTGGATGCTCAAAATCCACCCTTTTGTTGTCACGCTATTTCTGAGGATCTCCATGCACCATTGAGGCTGTACTCATCTTTCTTGATGGCTTTGAAATTGGGATTGAGATTTATAGATTCTCTTTACTTTGGAATTCAAACCAGTTTAGTTAGAGCTGACTCAGAGGGCAGTTAGTTCCAGGATCCTTTTATAATGTGAAATCCTGATCTTCTGAGGATAGCTTAAATCGGAACACAGTGTGCCTGGCCTCTTGAAATACGGCCCTCTCATCTAGCAATTTAGCAGAAGGTAGCTAATTTTCTAGAGCTTTCTGAGGCAAGGGCAGAGTAATTTTACTTTAAGAAAGATAACACATATGTACAAAGGAAGCAGAACAGAAGAGTTAGAAATAAAGAAAAGATAGCTGTTCACCACTTTATTGAATTGCTTTTGTTCCTGTTATTGGACACAGAGGTTCCCACACATTCGTTCTAATCTACACTTGAGCTGACCTAGGTTCCTCATGAGTTCTCTTGCTTAAGCAAGAGAAGTGAAATTCTCTTGCTCTTAATTTCAGCTTGTGATATCTGCACTTATTTTTTTTTCTGTATTTACCTTACACTCATTCAATCAGATCTTTTTAAAAGGGAGGAGAGATCAAAGAAGCAAGATGCATTTGGAAACTTATGGCAAAAGTGTGATATATTCTGACAGCTTGAAAGGACATACTATATGAATATCTGATTTCAAAATATGCTCACATAACTCTTTTCTTTTTTCATGTCCATGGATATGATGGCAGCTTACTTAATCATTACCTCATCTAGACTATTCTGCGACATCGGTCTCCAGTGTCATGATTTTCTGAATCACAGTGTCATTCTTCCGCACCCCAAAACTTGAACAGTGTTGCAGGGTCCAAGGATAAGCACATCATTCACATCTCTCTAGGTGTCCCATTCACCGTATCTTTACAACATTATCATCCGTTACTTGTGTTCTTAAACTGTTCAATCCTGCAAATGCTTTTCTATACCATTGTTCATGCCATTCACCCTTCAAATTCCATCTCTCTGCTCTTCCCACATTAAAAAAAAAAATTATCCTCAAATCAGTCAGCTCTAGATAAGATTCTGCCCACTCCAGGCCACATCTCCCTTCTCTGAAGAAGGTGTGTTTAATTTGTATGTCACTTGCTTAGCATCTTTCTTTGCCCCTTCCTTCCACTGTTGTAGGCAACTGTCATTACCCTCTTGCATCACTACATCCTCAGGCACTCTCATTCAAGTGTTCACAGATTCCTTTCACAAAGCAATTGTTAGTTCCAGGATTAAAGGGACTCTGTATTTATATTATTTACTTACTGATTAAACATCTAATTTCTCACAGTTTAGAAATTCAATTAATTGATGCTTAACAAATATTTGGAGGGGGGCTCTAATTTATTTTTCCCATTTTTTTTCTTATTTAACTTATTTAAATTTCAATTTTAATTTAATTTAAATATTTATTTATTTATTTAGCTTATTTTTCCAAATGTCTTGAGCCTACCAAGAAACTTCTTTCTTGTATTAGGTAGTATAAGAAACACAGTAACTAATCAATGACCAAAAAAGACCATAAAGTGGCTAAATTACGTATATTTAAAAAAAAAAAAACCTGACCACACTCAAGGTGCCTTTTTCTATCAATATGCTTAATTAGCCTCTCTCATCAGACTCTGTATTTGCTGGTGTGTGGACACACCTCCTTCTTATGGATTTCAACCTGCCTTATCTATAGATAACAGCAAAGTTTAAGGAGAATGAAATATCTCACATTCTGAATATACTGCTTTAAAGTTTAGAGTCACAGGTGCTTAAAACTAGAAGTAATCATCAGGACCTGTTTTCCCATATCCTGATTTTACTGAGGACTGGAATGGGTGTGGGACTTGCAAATACTCACAGGGATATGCAGAGTAGGGCACCAGCTCCTGATTATCAGCCCTGGAGCTTACAGCCTCTCTGTGCTACTCCATGGTCCTGCAAACTCCAAGATACACCATTTGAATCTTTAACAAGCCTTTATGTGAGGATACTATTGATAGAAGCTGAGAAAATTAACGTTAAAGGTAAGTCCTGGGGGGATTTACTAACTGGCATCAAAGGTTAAGATGGCAATGTGTATTAAAATGAATCTCTGAAAAACAGAAGAAAAAGCCTTGAAAGGCAATCAGAATGAAAGGGCACCCACTTAAAATGCGAGTCATTAATGCCCACCCTACTCACAACACACAACTGCTACACGTGTGTACACACACACACTCATAGATGCTGATTTTGGCACTGTGTGGTCTTAGGTACTGAACAAATTGTCAATCAAGGAAAGGGAATTATGTCATTATTCAACAGTGATGATTATGTTCAACTCATTTACATACATACACAACTAATTTATATTGACTTATTTTAGTATACATTGCCATTTTTTCCTTAGACACCAGTTAGTAAACCCTCCCATGCTATATGAGAGCTAGTCCTAGAGAAGAAGAAAATCACTGATCCCAGGAAAAGCGGGTAGGCACCGAGAAAGAAGAACAATCAGCATACATGATGAAAGCCATGGACCTCTGGAAGGCTGTTGCCCAAATGGAGAAAGAAATCCTATTTTTGCTTGCTAGTTTCAGAAAGAAAAAAATAGGGCATTATAACTATACATTAGGTGAGTTTGCTTTGTTTTGTTTTATTTTGTTGTTGTTTGTTTGTTTTTTGAGGCAGAATCTCACTCTGTTGCCCAGCATGGACTGCAGTAGGACGATCTGCACTCACTGTAACCTCTGCCTCCTGGGCCCAAGTAATTCTCCTGTCTCAGCCTCCCAAATAGCTGGGATTACAGATGCATGCCACCATGCCTCGCCTTTTGTGTGTGTGTGTGTGTGTGTGTGTGTGTGTGTGTGTATTTTTAGTAGAGACAGTATTTCACCACATTGGCCAGGATGGTCTCGAACTCCTAGCCCCAAGTGATCCACCTGCATTGGCCTCACAAAGTGCTGGAATTACAGGTGTGAGCCACCCCACCCAGCCCAGGTAAGCACAATTTTAAAATCCATGTCACCACAAAGGATTTTTTTGGGCTCAGTTTGCCCTGCTTGCATGCTTAATGTTTGATACAGAGCTAATTTAATATTTTCTGTAAATTATGCGACAGTTTCTGTGATGGACTACTTGTCCACAATTTGAAGAAGTCAGAGAGGATTAGAACACACATGCATGCGTAAACACACACACACACACACACACAAACACACACACACATATTTTCAAATTGGTGTTACAACATCTCAATAATTCATAGTGAAATAAGAGTAAAGGTTCCCCAATACAAATGTGACAAGAACATCAGTAGTGTCCTTATATACCACCATTTTTATCATTCCCAAATATATCAGACTTAAGGATTAATGCATGTCAATCCCTGAAATTGTGTTATTATCATTCTCTTTATCTTTTGCTAAAAGCAAACAAAATAAAAATTCTTCTCCTTAACTCAAAGACCTCAGGAGATAAAACTATGGAATTTTCCTAACCACCTAGGAACCTTGTGCTTGTCTTTAGAAATGCCATGTTCCATCACCAGCTGCCACCAACAAGCAATCAAGCACATTGTAACTCTGTAACAGGGACATGTGTATATATATATGCCTCTGGGTGAGTGCGTCTGAGAATCTGTGCATGTGTATACATGTGCAGGTGTGTGTGTATGTGTGAGTACATTAAGGAAATCTTCCTAAGGACATGGAAAATTATTGGCCTAGATGGAAACTAAAAATAATAACTTAACATATGAGAGGTTTTTGTTCTTTTACAAACAAACATTTTATATATGTTACTGCTCCAAGAGTTTATGCCACAAAGATTACTCGGTATTATTGAAGAATATCATTTGTCCCCAGAACAATGTGAATTTGAACTATAGCAAAAGGGAGATCTCAATCATTTCTACCTTGGCCCCCAAGTCCTGACATCTGATGATAGTGTAAGTGTCCTGGAAACAGTAAACTATCTCATACATATGTATATTGGAAAATGTACTCATAAATATTCAGTTTGAAGCCCCCGTCTGTACTACTCTTCTGAGGTAGGTAACATTATGCTAATCTCACAAAGGTAGCCACTAAGGTACAAAGTGATTGGTTTAACAAAACACAACTATTTTACTTGCAAAACATAATATTTAGAAAAAAAGCTCTGGGTTAAATGCTTGGCTTCACCACTTACTAGCTCTGTGATTTACAGCAAAATGGTTAACTTCTCCACACCTCAATTTCTGCTTTACAAAAATTTAGTTGATAGTATGAATACCTACTTTACAACATTATTGGCAAAAAATGAGTTAATGCATGATAATGCATAATGTTAAGCCCTTAATAAATGTTTATTATTATTACTGTAATTACTACTAATTTAGAACTAGCAATAGGACTTTTGACTCCTAGTCCTATATCCTTCACATTGGCCATGTGATATTAGTGCCTTGATTAACCCTACAACCTACAAATATAGTTGTTTTCAGAAGAAGAAAACAGGTAACAGTCAGTCATTCAACGGACATGCGTTGAGTCTCCTCATAGCTTGATGAGTAGCGTTGAGTCTCCTCATGGCTTGATGAGTACTGGAAATGGTGAATGAGATAGACATAGACTCTGTCACTTTGAGTTATTGTTTCTGTAACCTATAAGAAACTTATTTATTAATTTTACTTAAAAAGAACAATGACAGATACATTGGAATTTTAAAACATCATTCTTCAATATTAACATCAAGTACATGGCTTAAGGAGAATTCAGGTATGCTTGATGTCCTTTTTCTGTAACCCAGAACTTAAAGTATATTTAAAAAAAAAAAAAAAACAAAGCCAAGCGTGGCGGCTCATGCCTGTAATCCCAGCACATTTGGAGGCCAAGGCAGGTGGACCACATAGTCAGGAGCTCGAGATCAGCCTGGCCAAGATGGTGAAACCCTGTCTCTGCTAAAAATACAAAAATTATCTGGGCATTGTGGTGGGCACTACTCAGCTACTCCAGCTACTCAGGAGGCTGAGGCAGGACAATCACTTGAACCCAGGAGGCCAAGGTTGCAGTGAGCTGAGATTGCGCCACTGCACTCTAGACTGGGCAACAGAGCAAGACTCGTCTCAAAAAAAAAAAAAAGAAAAGGAAAGAAAAGAAAAGAAAAAAAAAACCATATCTAAGCAGAAAAGGGACAATAAAAATACACTATTACAACCTTATATGACCATCATTGTATATGTGGTCTGTCATTGACTAAAACATGTAGTACATGACTATGTATGTATATGTATACTGCATATATATGTATATTTTTGTCTATATCCCATATACACACATAAGATATATACATAAGCATACATAATCAAATACATTTTTGCCATTATTTTCAATGAATTGTTACCTGTTAGATCAATCAGTAATAAGAAAATGATAAGTAAATCTCAAGGACTTAAATAAAATGTAAGGTAAGAACAAGATCTCTAAGGCAGCAGATATTTCTTGAATTAATCAGTCTTTCAAAGCTCTTTTTCTTACCTTCAAAGAAACTTATCCAGCCAACTAAAACTTTTCAATGAGAAAGTGTGGTGCCCAAAAGAGATACAAGTTTTTTTTCCTAAGGGTATATTGCTGATTGCTCTAAAGATAGGGGAAGAAGGACGGGAGGAAAATAACCCCAAACTCTCTTAGGATCAAGATGAAGTAATCTGGCCACTTGAACCAGAGGGAGGCATCTAAGGGAAATGGTAATAAGCAACTCTTCGTTATTTTGGAACAAGTGTGCCTTCTTTGCTCACTAACAATCTATCGTTGAGTGCCACGGTGCTGTTTCATATCAAGATTGCAAAAACCATTACAAGCTGCATAGGTATTGGAGGCTCAACCAGATGTGACGAATTTCCATTGTTTTACTTAGTGCATGGAAAATATTACTAATGGCTGGTGTCAGGGGAGGCATAACTGACCCCAAATGGCCAAACTCATCTGGGTGCCTTTCTTTAAGTCAGACCCTTTAAATACTCTCTCTTGTTATTGCACAGGCCCCTCTCCCATTTTATGAGATGTTTGACTATATAAAGCTCATTTTAGCAAAGGAGAAATTCCATGACTGCATGAACAGGTGGTCTAGGAACTTGGGAGAGGAGTGGGGTATCTTTCCTTGAGACTGAATTTTATTTACAGCCAATTCTTGATTGTCTTTGGACATACAAGACACAATTGGGCACAATGAAGCAAATAAAGTCTGAAGAATTCCATTTAATCTTCTTCTTCCCTGCCATTGTCTTCACAAGAACTGCTAAAGGTTACAACATTTATGATTCCGATTGAACAAAATTTCACTCCTGTTACAATTCAGATGAATTCCCTTTCTATTCCCTTTTACCAATGCCAGAGCTGAGATACAATAAAGCAGATAGCAGAAAAAGAGAAGGTCTTTGAAAATTCCTTATTCCTCTATCTAGAATTGACATTCAAGTTTTGATTTTAATATATGATTTGCACTTTGAATTTTCTTGGAGATATTAATAATAAAACATATCAGATAAACATCTGACTTCCACTTTATATATCAAGGTTTCCAAAACAACCTCGTTCTTGCTACAGTCACAGATCTGTTCTTTCCCTTTAGTTTAGAAGGCTTCAGAATGCATCAAATTCTGTATCTTCTGCCTCTAGAAGTCTCATTTATTAGAGGTATTCAACATCCTCTTTTGTAAACTTGACATTGTCTTTAGATATTAGCTCATCAAGACCCAGAGTCCAGTCTCAGTTCAGAGGAACATGGAGAAATTTAAATTCTTTTCTAAACCTCCTGTAACTTCAGCTGAACTCCTGTGTCTTCATGTGAACTCTTCTTATTGGCAACAGTGAGGGTGGAGATCCCCTGAGAATAAGTTTCCTTGCAAGAAGTTTTCTGGAATTTAAAATTTAGCCTTGAAATTATAAATTAAATAAAAGATCAAGAAAATAAAATGTGACTGTGATTTTTGAAATGAACAACATTTTAGTGAGCTTCCTATATTGTCTTTTTTCTTAAATGTGCAGCTCATTAAACAGAATTTTAGTGTGCAGTGGCATTTAATTTTGAAAACTTCTTAACAGCTATTACATAAATGCACAATGGACATTATTTTTTTAAATCATAACTTACACACCCCTGGCCCCTAGATGCTGGTTTTAAAATACAGAATAAGAGTATCATTAATGAAAAACAAAGTCTTTAAAGGTTTTACAGTTCTGTGACAAATTAAAGCTCAATAATGCCCTTTCACTGTGCATGGTAAGTACCTGCTTTTGCTGCACAGTTAATATATTTTCATAGGCGTTTTAATTGTTTCTGTTAATAGCGTGGGTCCCTGCAAAAGATTACTTGTTGCTAAACTAGGTACTTAATTGGAGGTTTGCCTTGATATTATGAAAGTTGACAGAACTGAAGAAGGGAAAGAAAACAGATGGTCTGTCTAGAGAGAACAACTACCAACACTGAAAACAAGTCTGAATTCCACGGGGTCCTCCAGTCTTATTTTTAAAGGATCCTGAAAAACCAAGGTCTCAGAGCTGGCTTCGATACTTAGAGCATGGGATGAATTTAAAACTGAAGGGAACAAATGATTGTGGCATGAAGGAAAGCCTTACTTAGGAAGTACCATGAGCATTTCCCAGGGCATGTTGCTGTCGGAACTCACTACAGAAATATAATGGAATTTCTAATTTGCTTTAATTAGAGAAAAGTAAACACCACCCTCAACATGTCATCATGTTTATATAGAAGCCCAACCAGCTGATTTTCTGCTGGGATGGCCCTGGAACCACTCAATTAAATCTCAGGGCACAGTTTCTTTTTATGAATGAAATACCATTAGTATGAGGCTAGAGAATTTTTTTTCATCTGCTTCATTGGCTGTGACTCTACAAGGACAAGTGACCAAACATCACACCTTCCAATTTTAATTAACCAATTGTAATTTCCAATACTAGACCATTTAGGATTCTTCTTTTCAAGGCATTTACTTCTTTATTTTATTTATTTATTTATTTATTTATTTATTTATTTATTTATTTATTTATTTATTTATTTTGATATGGAGTCCTGCTATATTGCCCAGGCCAAAGTGCCATGTCACAATCTGGGCTCACTACAACCTCTGCCTCCTGGGTTCAAGAAATTCTCCTGCTTTTGCCTCTGGAGTATCTGGGATTACAGGTGAGCACCACCATGCAGGCTAATTTTTGTATTTTCAGTGGAGATGGGGTTTCACAATGTTGGCCAGGCTGGTCTGTCATTTCAAAATACACCTGACCTCAAGTGATCTGCCCACCTTGGCCTCCCAAAGTGCTGGAATTACAGGTGTGAGCCCCCACGTCCAGCCTGACTGATTTATTTTAAAACTTTCCACTTTGTAAGACTAAGGAAACAAATTACTTTATTTCTAGCATAAAATGCTAATAGGAAAAATAAAAATTAAAAAATAAAAGAGAGAAAGAAAAAGAGAGGTTTACTTCTTAATTTTTCAGGTATTTAAGTTTTATAAAGTAAAACCATAGTTAAGGTTTATCACATTTTCTCTTATTATCAGGACTGTCAGATCCTAAGAATTAAAATATTGATAGAATCTCTATGAAGCTGGAAGGAACCTTGGAAGTTATCTTCATGTTGCAGATTTTACAACAGATGCTCAATTTTCATAAATGTCATTGTTGAAGATATGGACATTTAAAAATAGCTTTGAGTCAGCTCTACAGTTTTTCAGATCTATGAAACATGAATCAGAGTTAAATGAATTGGGAGTTTTTTGTTTGAGAAGCTTAAAAGTATTAATAAATAATCCTACACATTTTTCCCATGAAAAAGGAATGAGATGATGGCAAATATTTCTAGTACTATAGAGCAAGGTAATATTATAAATTGTTACAAAAAGTTAGTTTTTCTGCTATTAATATGAAAAGAAGCAATAGTATTATAATTCTCAAAGTTCCTCAAACACCTGCAATACTTTAAGCAAAGTAACAGTAACAAGAGATAAAGTTAATTCTGGTATATTGGGGACTTTTTCACCAACTCATCAGCTCTGTGACTATTTCAACATCAAGGTGAGTACAGCTGTATTATGTACATCCAGTGGGGTATGGGGAGGAGACTGAAGGAACCCCTGCAATGCCCAAGTTCAGCCATTCAGATTTGCTAAACACATATGAACAAGATCCACGCTTGGGTTTTGGAAACAGTCTCAACCAACAGCTCTGATCTCAAAGCTGTGTTTCATACAAGAGACAGGGACAATTTCCCCTTCAAATTGCCCTTTGACTAGTTGATTTTAGAACTTCAATAAGTCACAATCATAGCACCTTTTTTTTTTTTTCATTTTTTTCAACATGAGGAATAATAACATTTGCCCTACATAGAAATTTGTTGCAACTCAAAGATCCACACATGGGCATGCACCTTCACAATATTTATATAGTTTCTTGCAAGTTTCTAATGCTCAATCAGTGCAGAGGTCAGAGCTAAAGAGAATTGGGTCACTCAAAAATGAAAGATTAAAAAAAGCTGAATATCTTTTAAAAGGAAGTACATATTCATATAATATTCTTGATGTATTTCACATCACCTTCCAAGTATCTAACCTACACATATATACTTGAGTTCTGTTCATCTGTCATTTCAAAATACAAGATGGACTTAAATTGAAAGATCCGAGAGCCAAGTTTACCTGAATAAGATAATTAGAGGTATTCAACATCCTCTTTTGTAAACTTGACATTATCTTTAGATATTAGCTCATCTAAAGCTAATTGTGTTTTTTTCTTTTACAAGACAGTGGTGTTGCTTCTACATGGGATCTCCTGTATATAATGAAAAATGAAGTTCCAACACACACACACACACACACACACACACACACACACACACCCCTATATTTTTAGCCTGTAGTATTCAAAATATATTTTAACTCCTATATTGAATCTTCAGTTCCCTCTTACCCTGAAAAACGTAATCTTTACTGGTTTTATTGCAGAGTTGATTGTATTTAAGGCAAAATGCACCATCCATCAGCATCAGATCTTGTCACTTTTGATCATCAAGCACATTGCCCGTTAATTTATCAGGACTGTCAGATCCCAAAATGTCAGCTTGTAAAACGTTTAAACCACCGTTCACACTAGACATCTCCAAACATCTTGCCTGGGAGGAGAAGTCTGTAAGGCATTTCTCCAGATAAATCAGGATGAAAATCCAGAATTAGACTGCATTTCTAATCTTTGAGCCACACAATCAGGATGAGTGGAGAATACAGTGAGTGCTTGATATTTCTAGAACCATGAGTGTAGTAGAGATACGGGGGTGATGGCTAGTGTTTCGCAGCCCACACCGTCACTTCAGGCCAGCTACCCCCTCAGATGGCAGCTGCTTATGGGAAGGACCAGCTTGTGTAAATCCTGATACCAGCTCTTTTTCAGTGCCTAATGATTACCTTCAGCTCAACACGAACACACTTAGAATGATCACCTTCTCTCGAAAACTTATCCAACATTCCCCATCTTAGTAAATGTCTAAAATACTCATTCAGTTTTTCAAGACAGATGCCTGATAGATTTCTTAGCCTTCCATCCTTTTTCACATTCAATCCATGACCAACTTTTTATGTTCATTTTCCTGAATAACTATCATATTTGTCTAACTCTTGCTCTATTGACTGTCTCATCATAGTTAAAATTATCATCTCCTTTCCTAACTTTTCTTCATGTACCAGTCTAGTTCCTTTGTAGTCCCCTATAAATAGAGTGACCATACATCCTAGTTTGTCCAGGACAGCCAGAGTTTTAATACCTGTAATCTCAGTGTAATTAGCAACGGCACCCCTTTTTACTTCCCTGATCCGGATACAAATTATGTTATTACAACGCATATAAACAGGGTTTCCTTTTTTTTTTTTTAATACTGTTTTCTGCCTAAAACTCCTAATGGTTTCTGCTAGTCCTTGGGACAAAGTCTAAACTCCTTGACCTGGTTTTTAAAACTGATCAATCAGGGTTCTACCTTACTTGCCAGGCTCATCTTGGGTAAATCTTATAGCTGCCTCATATCCTAGGATCCTACATTTCTCCTGTGATCATCCTAATCTCAAATTTTTTTTTGTAATATCTTGGTTAATTGTTAATCCCATAGAGTTTAAGAGCTAAATGCACAGACGATATCTAACGGCTCATTATTATATTCTCAGCACACAGTGCATATTATTCATTCAAATATCATGGTCATAGCAGAAAAGAATACTTATCTACAAATATACAATTAAATGAGAGATAAGAGCCGCAGCAACCGGACCATATTTGGTCAAAGTTGGATGACAAAGGGTGTTATATATATAGCCAGAATGAAATTGTAAAATTTTACACAAATATGAACAAGCTTCACCAAAAAGAGAAAGTGGATGTCATCATTATTAATTTATCCTTGTATTATTATATATTTTCATCATTGTTATGTCATCACTAAATAAACATCAAGTGCAATCATTTCTCAATTATCTATATGCAACATCCTCTTACTAGAATAATACCACAAAGATTTTACCACTTGGCCTTCCAGCATTAGAAGGTAATGAGCCTCATGCTATACAAACTTGATACAACTTAATTATATAAAAAATCAACAATAAATAAAGAAGATCTCCTGCTTAAATTGTTATATATTCTAATGCATTTTTAAGGTCAAATGTGAATTTTCCTTTTTTATTAAAAGTTAAAGATTAAACCACATCAAAAAATCATAGAGGTATGAAAGATAATATTACAGATTACACATGCAATTAATAATGTCCCTTTTAGTATGTCTTATTATTACAGATAATTTTTATATGTGAATACTTTGAAAACACAGATCAAAAAAGACAATTGTTTCTGACCTGATCTTGACGAGATCGAAATGACTCTGTTCTTTTTATGGAACTCCAGACTTTCTCTTTCCTGACTGGGAGCTCTCTAGTCTGCCAATGAGATGATACCAAAGCCTTCTTTTCTCAGTAGCTCTTCATTCATCGTGATCTTTAAGACAGCATTACATGTCAACCTATATATTTCTGGCTCCAAAAATAAATATTGCTGGTAAAGTAATAACAAAACAAAAATGCTGCCTGCTCATTTTCTTCTCAAAACATATGCCAGCCCTTTCTCAAGACTGCAGGGGCTGAGTCTGGAAAGAACACTATACCTAGCTTTCTGTAGCACATTTCTCAGATATGACGACCCCACTGTAATGATGCTTGCTTCTGGATAATTCTCTGCCTTTCATGTTCAAGCACTGAGAAAATCCAGAAAGAAGACAATGAATAAGTAGCATTAGTTATTAAATAAAACACTTCAATTTTCATTTCCTCTTGAAGAGTTCTCCCATGAGAATTGAGTCATTAACAAAAGAATTGTTCCAGGAGGTGTCATGACAAAAATTTCCTACATTATATAAGAATAACAATAGTATTAACGAAAATTTGCAAAAAAAGTTCTTACTCCCAAGCCCGAAAGCCTTTGAGTAATTGACAAGTTATATTTTTGAGATATAATTCACATATTATAAAATTCACTCATGAAACTATACAGTTCAGTGCTTTTTTAGTATTTTCACAAAATGGTGTAACCATCACCAATATCTAATTCCAGAATGTTTCTATAACCCCCTAAATAAGTATTGTACTCATGAGCAGTGATTCCCCATTTTTCCCTACCTCAACCCCTAAAAAACATTAATATTTCTGTCTCAAAGGGTTGGCATAGTCTGGACATTTCACATCAGTGGATTCAAAATAAGTAACCATTTGTACCTGCTTCTTTCATTTAGCATACTACTTTCAAGATCTATTCATGTTGCAGCATGTGTCAGTACTTCATTCTTTTTATGACTGTGAATAATCCCACTGTATGGAAATAGCATATTTTGTTCATCCATTCATCCATTGATGGACATTTCAGTTCTTTCTAGTGAGGCTATATAAACAATGCTGCTACAAATATTCATGTACAAATTTTTGCTTTGACATGTTTTTCCATTCTCTTGGATATACTTAGGAGTGACATTGCTGAATCATCTGGTAACTTCTTATTTAAATTTTTGAGAAATCACCAAAGTGTTTTCCATAGCAGCTGTACTATTTTACATTTTTTACCAGTGATATATGAGTTCCAATTTCTCTATATATTCACCAAAAAAATTGTTTTCTTTTAAAAATATTATAATCATTCTAGTGGGTTTGAAGGGGTGTCTCATTATGGTTTTGATTTGTATTTCCCCAATGACCAATGATGTTGAACATTTCTTTCATGTTTACTGGCCATTTACATATCTTCATTTTAGAAATATCTCTTCAAATACTTTGCCCATTTGCCTATTTTTATAAATTGGGATTTTTATATTTTTATTGTTGAGTTGCAGGAATTCTTTACTATCTGGATGTTTGGCCCTTTTCATATACATAATTTGCAAATATTTTCTGTTCAGTGGGTTGCCTTTTCATTGTCTTGATGATATTCTATGAAACACAAAAGTCTCAATTTTAATTAAGTCCAATTATCTATTTTGTTGTTGTTGCCTGAACTTTTGATATAGAAGTTAAAAAACAGCTGTCTAATTCAAGGTCAAAAAGATTTATACTTTTTTCTTTAATAAAGAAAATAAGAGTTGAATAAATTTAGTTTTCACAATTAGGCATTTGATCCATTTGGGGTTAATTTTTGTATATGGTATGAAAAGGTTTAGCTGTGTCGCCACCCAAATCTCACCTTAATTGCAATAATCCCCATGTGTCAATGTGGGGCCAGGTGGAGATAATTGAATCATGAGGGCGGTTTTCTGCATACTGTTCTCGTGATAGTGAGTAAGTCTCACGAGATCTGATGGTTTTATAAATGAAGCTGCCCGCCGCCCTCCCCCATCCCCACCCGCACAAGCCTTTTGCCTGCCTTGATATAAGATGTGCTTTTGGATCCTCCTTTGCTCTCTGCCTTGATGGCCAGACCTCCCCAGCCATGTGGAACTGTGAGTCCATTAAAACTATCTACCTCTTCCTTCAATTCTCTCAGTATTTGCTGCATGCATTTTGGAGCTCTGTCGTTAGTATATATATATATATATGTTTATATTTAGTATGTCTTCTTGATTAACTCTTTCATCATTAAAAAGTACCCTTCTTTGTCACTAATGACAGTCTTAAGGCACATTTTGTCTGATACAAGTATAGTCATTGTAGCTCACTTTGACACTTAACAACTGATTTAACCTTCACTTCCTGCTTGCAGAGAGTCTCCAAGTTAGCCAGAAGTGAGAACTCAGGATTGTCTAAGAAATTTACAAAATTCTATGTAGGTTTATTGCCTTCTAGAGTCTCAGAAATATGTTGGAGGTCTTCAAAGTCTCTGTGGATATCTCATTTTCCAGCTTTTCTTTTTAAGGTATGTATTCAGCTCCTTGTTTGCCCCAGCTGTTATCAATACATCAGGCATCTGAAATGATGAGTAATCACTGCTGATTGTTTCCAATAAATGCCTTGAGAAAAAGGCTTTTCACACTGGTCAAGCTTTGAGACAGGTCAAACAAAAACAAGTGCTGTCAATTGGATATCCAGGGTACTGACCTACAGAGGTCAAATAAAGCTCAGGGATTGGGGTTTAGGGGAGCTCCAAACCCATTCTTCCCCTTATAGTGGCTTCTAGGCTGCTAGTTGCCACCATGATTGCAGAGTTATATGTTTTCAATGCTGCTGTGAATCTTGGAGGAGAGTCTTTCACAGGGTAAGTTATAACACCACATAGATTGCTCTTCTTCCAACAGATGCTGCAGAGTTTTTTCTGAGTAGCTGCTCCTTGGATTTTTGCAAGGTTTTCCAGGTCTGAAAAAGCTGATTTTGGTAATTTTGCCAGTGTTCTTATTGCTTTCATAGAGAAGCAGATTTTTAGAAATCTTTACTCTTCCATTTATGCTGATGTTACCCCCATTATACACATTGAAGTAGGCTATTCCTAGAAATTCTAAGGGAAAAAAACTTGTCTCCAAGCAACCCTGGAAGCCTGGTGTATGTTTCTATGCCTTCATTTCCAAACATACTAAAAATAATGCAGGTGACCTCTTGCTGGGGAGAAGACACTATTGAAAGTCACAGTAGGTTTAATTGCCAATTAAACTCTCTTCTTAACTCACTTTGAGTTACTGTGGATAGAGATGTGAGAAAGGTAAGCTCCAACTTGGTTTCTGTTCTCAAAAAGCTTTTAGTCAATTTTATGTGCTTATAGTTTGTCTTCAATGGGAATCCAAATACTTCCATTTTAAAAAGTTTGTGGTGTCCATGTTCCCAGGATGCTGGTTTGGCAAGGTGTGTGATTAAAGGGCAAAATGTGGAGATCTGAGTTGTCAATTATTCAGTCAAGTTACATAGACACCAATCTGAACACCTGTGGCTTAAAAAGGCAGAGAAGAATTTCAACTTGGAAGGTGTTTTACCACTTGAACCTGAGGATCAAGATTAACATCATCTTTTACCAATATGTTCTAGATAGTTGTATTTTATTTTCAGGCTTTGATAAACCTGGAATGCCACTCCTTCATGGGTAGCCACCAGACTGGGCTTTACATGAGAATTCAGCTTTTGTGAGTCTAGCCTGAGTGCTTTTTCTTTCTCTTCTCTTCACTTTGCAAATGAATATAAATATTCATTTCCCATTTGAAAACCTACCTATAAAATCAAGAAAAAAAATTTAAGTTTCCTTAACTGGTATCCTCTACAGTTTTTCTTAAGCCTTGATTTATATTGCACAATAAGGTAGGCTTTTTTCAAACTACATTAGGATGATAAACACAGCAATGTATTTTATCCTAGAGTGGTTAATTTATATCTGGTAGCTTTAGTAAATGTGCTTCTGATGCTTTTTATTTTAATTATGCAATAAAATAACTAGGCTTTTTCAATTCATTTTTCTCAAGCAAACTTTATCTTACTGTCGGAGGTGTGTGAACCAGAACAACTCCATCTTGAATAGGAGCTGGAAAAAATGAGACTGAGACCTACTGAAGTGTATTCCCAGATGGTTAAGGCATTCTAAGTCACAGGATGAGACAGGAGGTTGGCACAAGATACAGGTCATAAAGACTTTGCTGATAAAACACGTTGTAATAAAGAAGCCAGCCAAAATCCACCAAAACGGCCACATGAGTAATTGCTGGTTGTCCTCACTGCTACACTCCCAGCAGCACCATGACAATTTACAAATGCCATAGCAACACCAGGAAGTTACCCTATATGGTTTAAAAAGGGGAGGCATAAATGATCCGCCACCCCTTGTTTAGCATATAATCAAGAAATAACCATAAAAATGGGCAACCAGCAGCCCTCTGGGCTTCTCTGTCTGTGGAATAACTATTCTTTTATTCCTTCACTTTCTTAATAAACTTGCTTTCACTTTATGGACTCTCCCTGGATTCTGTCTTGTGGGATATCCATGAACCCTCCCTTAGGGTCTGTATTAGAACCCCTTTCCAGTAACATTACCACATACCACTAGAGTAATTTACTTATATTCTCTGTCCTGAAGATGGGAGGTTCTTGAGAACAGACACTTGGTTTTATATTTCATTGTATCTCTGATATCTAGTATATAACCTTGTGCATAATAAGTGTCAATAGGTGTTGAACAAATTTTTGCAATTAAATCTGTAAACATTGAGTGCTTGCCATTTGTCACTGAATGTTTTAGTAATGGGATACAGGGATGCATTTAGATTCTTAATGAGAAAAGAAAAATATAAGTGCACAGATGATATTAAGTAATGTGCAGATGATGCTAATTCCTATGAAAAATGTAAAATGGATAAATGGATTAGAGAGTAACAAAAGGAGAATGGGAGAGCTCCTTCAGTCCAGACAGCTAGAGCAGGCCTCAGTAAAGAGAAGACAGGGGAGACAGATTCATCTTAGAGAAGATTAATCCAGGCAGAAAAAGAAACAATTGCAAAGGCTCAGAATTAAGCTTATTTTATTAGGTCACATCCAACATGGAATTTCTTCCTAGAATTAGAGAAAAGGAGATAATTTTTAGATTACACATTTCTTCAATTGAACTGAAAAAAGGAGCTCTCGGAGAACAGAATATTTCTCCAAGACATGAAAATAGCTTTACTCCTGGAGAATTATTTCAGTTGTCCTGGTGGGAGCTACTGGAAAAGATGTTTACTGGAGATTCACTCTAGGGCCACAAAATTAAAATAGCAATTTAGCAATGGAATTGCTAATGATCAGTTAATGATCTTCAGAGAGGTATTAGGTTGTTTCACTTTATTTTATGGCCACTTAGCTGAGGTAGCTTTTATTTAATCAGAAATATTTACCCCTTTTCATTAATAATATGTGCTCTTACAATGAGATTTTTTTTTTTGCTTTTTTTTCTTCCAAGTACATCTTAATTAAAGTTTAGCCAATTTCATGTGTTGAAAAATGTAAAACTATTCCCTGAACTGAAATTCCTCTGAAAGAGTGGAATAGAGCATGCTTCTAACTGATCCCAAGTGTTCCAAATTCTGACCCAAATAAGACCTTTGGGGGTTCAAGCTCCTTTACATTTCATAAAATGTAGCTTCCTATTTCTGGAGAATAAAAGGCTTTGAAAGTCACAAGGAAATGGCTCAAAAGGCATCCAGGGCATGAAATAGCTTTAACAAATCCTGCTTGATGAGTTAAGTGTAAAGGAATCAGAAACATATGGATTACATTTCCCATCAAATACACATAGGCTTAACAGAGAAGAAGAAAAAGTGGCTGTGGCCCAGTGTGATTCAGGTTTTTTCGAGCTTAATACATTTGGAAAACAGTTCAAGATGGTTAATAAACCCAAAAGCAAGCCCGGTCTGTCCTTCCTACTGTAGGGAGGAATGTGCTGGATTTCAATTCAGTACAAGGGGTGTCTGCTGGATTACTGACAACTCTCTTTGTCACACAAACAGTACCTCCTAGGGAGACAGACAGACAAGGCAGGCTTGGACTTGTCTGAGATATGCAGAGTACTTTGGACCCCACTGGCAGAAAGTGTACATTTCTAGGTCCTAACTCCTAACAGCCATAACATTCTGACCCGGTCATTTTAAGTCATGGCTATGGAAAGGCTCCTCCTCTCCTTTCTTTCCATAGCCACCTCCATCCTACCCACTTACCCACCCCCTACAAAAAAAAAAAGAGGAAAACATCAACATTTCTAAAATTGTTCTTTAAGAGATTGTTCTAATCTGAACTCATTTAGGAAATGAGGAGGTTGAATAAATAGCATTCCCAGGCTTAAATTACTGTGTCATTCTTGGTGACACAATGAACCCTTTCACCTAGCATTGTGTCCTAGGAAATTACAATTCTTGGCCTTGAATGGACCTGCTAGAGAACAAGCTAGAGCCCAGCCTCCCAGCAGAGGGTCAGTTGCCGATCATTAGTCAGAGGGGATCCAGAGCCCATGCGTCAGGACCTCTCACTGTTGCAGGAAGCAATCCTGACCACCTATCCCCAAGTTTCTTCAGGCTCACTGCCATGAAGGAGCTACCACACATTGCAAAAGAATGTCCACACTGTGACTGCAGTGTTGGGACCAGAGACCCACTGAGTCACGCTGCTCTTTAAGCTAGAGGTCAGGCTTCTCTATCAGGCAGAACCAGTATTTCTTTGTGATGCAACTTCTATAGAAAGTTCCTTTTTTTTAAATATATAAATATTTTATTGCGTTTTAGGTTTTGGGGTACATGTGAAGAACATGCAAGATTGTTGCATAGGTACATATATGGCAATGTGGTTTGCTGCCTTCCTCTCCAACACCTATAACTGGCATTTTTCCCCATGTTATCCCTCCCCAACTCCCCATTCG